AACTCGTCTGACCTAGGTAAAATTTATCAATAATTGATAATTTTACAGAAATTTTCAAAAATTTTACTTCAATGTTTGTATAATATTTCTTAGAGTTGTTTTTAACTAGTATGTTTATTTCACCGTACATCGGACAAAAATTAACCATGCATCGGACACTTTCCGATGCATGGGTAATCACTTCCATTTTCATATAAAACCCAAATGACAGCTATTTTACGAAAATAGAAACTCTAAATTTTAAGTGTAAATACAAATAATCGATATATGACGACTAGAAGTGGACTCTGTTTATTTCTTTAAACTAGATGATGATAACCCACGAGACAAAGGCGCGAGCTGCCATATCACTAGTATTGTAAAGCCTTTCTAAGGCAATGTGATGCAACTAAAATCTCTTCACATTTGTGGATCGAAATAGTCATTCAAATTTAATTAGAAGGTTAGTTTTTAAATAAAAGATAAAAATGTTTTGATATCACTCATTTTTAAGCACCGAGATCAAGGTATGATATTTTTCTGGTTTAAATATCGTATGTCCGATGCATGGTGAATATTGTCCGATCCATGGTGAATTCTGACTTATTCCGAAAAAATCGATTTTTAATGATATTTTCTCAATAAATAGGGCACGGTTGTGTCAAAAATTTATATTTTAACCACATACTACATATTAAGTTCCATTTTGATAATATTCGGTCGGTAGCGATATCGCTAGAACTTGTTGAAGTGCGAGGGTGTCCGATGCATGGTGAATTCACCCTATATTTTTCTGTCCACCAATTCTCTTTAATTTCTGATTGCACTGTAAAATTCATGTTAAACTTTTGAAACAATCCTTTTTTTTTATTCCTTATGGACAATTTATACAACGACTGATCTTTGGTCAGTTGTGTACAACTGGTTGTCCCTTCATCATAACTAAATTGATCTTCCGATAAACAATGCAAGTTAATTACAACACCTGCATGCAAACCAATACCCTCATGGAGACTTAAAGGTGAATTGTTCTACCACTTGTGTCCAGCATATTTTTCCTACGCAATTGAATTTGTTATTTTACCCGTCACGAACACAAATCCTGATATATTTCTATTTCAAGGTTTTTCTTCGTTAAAATAATCATATCAGATACTAAAGATTGACCAGAAGAATTTTAAGCCCAATTAAATGTTATTAAATTAATCATTGTCAAAAATAAAACTAATTTGAGGAAATATTTTGGTCTTTGATGTCCTTTTTAGTATAGGAACCATTTTCTTTATGTAGATTAACAATGTTTGTTTGTTTGTTTGTTGTTTAACGTCCTTCTTGAGAATTTTTCAATCATATGGAGACCCCACCACTTGCGGGTGGAGGGCTGTAAATTTTGACCTATACTCGGCACTCTGGGTCATTGAGCAGTGAGGTATCTTTATCGTTGCCAGCGCCTACTGCGACACGGTACCTCGGTTTATACGGTTTCATCCAAAAGACCAGTCTCCACGTCCCGAAGTGGATACGAACCCGCGACGTAAGGATCAACACCTTACGCCGCCACTCTATAGCAAACGTTCTAACCACTGCGCCACGCGGTAGATTAACAATGAGAATATATATATAATACAATAAAACGTGTTCCACAAGGAACGAAAAACAAGCAGAAAAATAGGTGTTGAGAATATATATTAAAGCATCAGTATGTATCATTCGACAAAGATAAGTATTGAAAGCATTCAGCATTAACAACATGCATAACAAGCTTTATAAATATCTACTGAAAATGCTGACTTTAAACAAGATGTTGATATTCCTGTAGCATCAATTTATTTTTCAGTTGCCTGCATCGGTTTGAATTCAGTTCAAACAGTTTCCTCTCTTTGTTGTTTTTGCAATCCTACTCTGAATTAAACTTTCGGGGCATAATGGACGTATCGATAAATCTACGACGAACCCAACATGAATAAAATATGTACTCACGTGCGTGAGATTATCGCTGTGTTATCCGTTGCCAGGTAAGTTGCTTATGCTTATACAATTATTGCTTTTTTCAGTGAATACGATGATTAAGACACCTGAGGAGAACAATATTCACCGAGCGGGAAGGGTGAGTGCATGGCTTAATCATCGTGTTGGCTGAAAAACAGCAATAATTGCATGTTTTATTATATGATTCAATGATTAATTGATACAGAATCGTTAAGCAAACCTAGCCATCTATCTTGGTTGTTTATATTTTAAATTATGTTATCAAAAACTCCAGAAATTATTAATGTGTGTTTTATGTACAAATATTAAAACACACTTGGTCAATTTTGTAATTACATGTATACATACATTGTACATGCATCCATCATATTTGTTTGTAGATATCGTCTATGAGATGTATGTCTCATAATAAACCCTTCCCGAACCCAGTGTTGACAAAAGTAAGCATTATATTATTGACCTCAAACAGGAATAATTGTTTTATTATATGTTTCAATGATTAAATAATACAAACTTGTTAAGCAATAGACGATATCTGATATTACTTGTTTACATTTGCTGAAGTTTTAGCCAAACAGAATGAGATAAGCGGGGTTAAAATATACATAACCAGTTGTATTAATTAGGAATTCAACTTCAAAGCATGTTTAAACAATAACAATAAAGCGAAAGGTAAGGAATCGAGATAATACGAAGTCGACTCCATCAGAGTATTTTCAATGCGCAACAAATAACATTTTCCATATTGTGTTTGAAAATATCCCAATTTATACGCAATTGGACCTTATTCTTTAGAAGAAATTACCCAATACATGTATCAATGATAAGGTGATGCTCTGTTTGGCACGTTATGCGACTTCTCAAAGCATTAACACAACATAGTCAGGAATTTGAATGCTCATTTATTGAGGAAATAAATGATAAAAAGTTTACATCACAAAGAACAATGTAGCTAAATAACAAAATAGGAAAAATGACAAGTGTCAAGTTCTTAAACGTGTCAAAGATGGGGCAATTTCCGCCATTCGTCGTGTCGGATGATATCACTGTCAGTGTGTTGCAATCTCGCAAAAATCAAACCCAATTCACTGTTGCACAAAATTATTTTTGGTAAAATGTTTGATGAGAGTATAAAAAATATCACTCTCTACATGCTGCTTATGTTCATAGTGCTTAAAGGACTTATCGCATGTTTCTAAATTATTTGAAATTAAAAGCGTATTACGTTCCTTATGACCACAATTTATAAATTCTGTGTTTTTACTGTGGATAAATCGCGGTAATTAACCAATTATTGACTCAAATGAAAACCCCTGAATTAAAAATCTAAGTTAATTAGATAGCAATCACGTGACCCTGTGACGTCAAAGGCGACAATGGCTGATCAGCTCTTCATTAATCTTACTAAAATATACGCGATACAACCTGAATTTTCTGCGTTGTGGACGACCAAATCACTTATTTTATCGATATAAATTGAATATTCAACCTTATATGCTAGAATTGTCAGCAAGAAAAAATCTGAAAAATCTGTTAACATTGTAAAAATAGCAGCGACGATAGCGAGGGAGACGCAGCGAAGACGAAGAAACTCGCCATAACAATGCAGTTTGATTTGTCATCTTATCACATGTATTAACTTGTTTGATTCACAAATTAAACATTATATAACTTTGTTATTCTTCGTTTTGTATATAACATTAATTTATGCAAGTCTTCATATGTTTTTTAAAGGATGGCGATCTTGAAAAGTAAATTCCCGATCACGAAACATTGCCGTAATTAGAGCTACAGGTTCTAAATATTTTGAATAAAAAACGAAAATATCTTAAAAGCCTTATACCTTAGAACTTATTAATGTTCTATAGTAATTGAAAAGCATATAAGGAATTCATTTTTTCAGCAGATTGCTCGGTATGTATAACATTCTCGATTTCTGTTTAACTATACCATTATTGGAACAATGGTACTGGTTACTGTCTGTCATAATATTTCTGACTTTGCACTTTATTTCATTTTCTGTCCAGTGCTGAATATTGTTAAAGAAATAGAAAAAGCTGATCAGCTTGTAATCATACCATCACAGGTTCTTTTGTTTTTGTTTTTTTAAACTGACCGTTCAGATATAGTTTCAGACAACGTTTTTAAAAAAAAATACATTATTTTAAGACAGCATGCTGTCCCGTGGAAACTTCCAACGCCACTTTTTCATTTGTTTGCTAATATGTGAAGCCTAAAAAGTAGCCACTATTTCGCAGTTTAATTGGTTGTCCAATAAAATTATCGTACCCCTCCAGCCTACAGTTTCTATGCAATTTCTATGAATTTCCACGTGTTCTTTGAAACAATATAAATTTCGACACAATAGAATCGATTTTAAAAATTTTTAAAATTAGTTGTGTGCCGTGCTCTCCCATCCTAGCTCACTCGGTGATTAAAGTGTTCCATTGTAATATAATCGTTAGTATAACTTTAAACAATAACGTTAACATGCTGATGAGCATTTCATCAAAAAATATTCAGGTTCATGTTCCAGTTCAATGAAAAAGGTGAACATAATGAATAGTGATCGATCCCTGAAATAGGTGAAGATAACAAACAGTGATCGATCTCAAAAAATCTACAAACAATTCTTTGAACAGTGCATAAAACACGGACCCTCGGATATTCCAGAATTGGAATCAGGTGCCTAGGAGGAGTAAGCATCCCCTGTAAACCGGTCGCACCAGCCGTGAGACCTATATATGGATCAGGTAGATGGAATATTCCGTAGTCAAATTTAGTACAAAAACTATAAATTGGTATGAAACACGTCTGTCAAATTACGACCCAATGATGTTGAAATGGATATTGATATTATTATTGAATTCCCTGAAAAATTTTCTGTCGACAAAAGTTTAGGTACAACCCTCGAAAAACAAAGGTTAGTCTATAAAGAAATCAACGAACTAAACATCTGTCAGTTTAAAGTAATTCCTCTCGTGCTCTTCTGCTTTGAATATTAATGATAGAGAAGGAGAAGGAATGGCGTGCTAATCTTCAGCAAGATTGCCTGTAACCTTTCTTACAAAATGATAGACATTTCGGAACATGGCCCTTAAATGGATTTTCAAAGTGACGATATCGGACACGAAGATGACCAAAAACATCACTCCTAAAAGACTTCCTCCAAGAATACCAATCCCTGTAGAAGATGTTCTAAAATCAGAAGCGCTCCCCTTCTTTCTCAGACTGGAGGACAGATTCCCGACTGGAATCTTTGCTTCTGACTTGGCCCTCTGTAAAACTGGTTTCATGATATTTTTGATTTCTGCAAGTGTAAAATTATTCAGGAATTCCCATTTGCTTACTTTTGGTTCCTCTCGATCTGTAAGACGATTAACGTGCATATTATTTCAAAGTTAATCAGAATTTTTGATAAAATATTTATTTATTACTATGATTAATTTATGGAAATATTTGCAATATTTCATAAAAATAAAAACTTTCCTAGAATTAATCTTACATACGGTAAAATCCTACAACAGCTAAACGGTCAGCCATCATTAATGATTTTTCTAAAAAGAAAGACCAGAAAATTTAAAAAAAAAAGTTAATCTCATAATAGTTTAGATTTAAACAGCATCATTTTTTTGTTCTTAATGACGCTTTATTCACAAAAAAATAAATCTGTTTTGTCCTTATTTTCAATTTGTAACGACACGTTTTATTTAAAAACATGTGCTTTCCATATAATTCACATTGCTGTTGGAACTGTTCATTGCCTTATGCTTATTTTGTTTCACAGGTTCAATTATTAAGGCGAATTGTCAATTTCGCAGATTACCATAATACAATTTTAATTGACATCAGGATGGTTGATGAAAGTAGACTATAATTTTATATCTACTTGTATATCTGGTTTAAGAACATACAGGTTTGCAAGTGCTTAGATTAGAATGATGAATGATGAAAACTTCAGAAATATAACACAATGGTACGTTTAAGAGTCAAGCATCAAAACATACCTTGCACTCTACAAAAATTATATACATTTGTGTATAGTTAAGTTTATATTGTTTTTCTCACCTGCAATTGTGTAAATTTCATACTCTGTTTGGTTTTCGCAATTCATCTTCAGTCGATTGAATTTTATGCAAGGGCGTTTCTGGACTTTACAATCATCCTGAAGAACATATCAAAACTTTTATTTTCACGTGCAATTCATTTTGACAAAACAAAAATTAAATTTGCAAGTAATTTCGTTATCTGTAATGGACTTCGTCATCAACATTTACAATGTAATACTTGCAAACAAATAATGCTGTATCTGAATTGATATTTGAGATTGTCAAAATACATGATGCGGAGAGGACGCCTACCAGATGTAGAGATAAGGGGTTTATACTTCTGTTGTAAAATTTCACGAAAAACATTTTTGTTTTCAATGTATCCTTTAAAATATTTTGTCGTAGGAATATCGCTTACTTGAAAGACGCTGAAGTGCTAGATACAAGAGAGAAAGACTCCATCAAGTCTTATTGATGGAAATTATGGATCTGACTAGCATGGTAATTCAAAGAAAATTTTTCTATAAATGAAATTACTACTTGTATCTGACAGTTGTATCACTTAATAGATTTTGGTATACATACCGTAACTTCAATTTTCTTTTTAAATAAACTCTGACTATATTCGACCTCGAAGCTGAATCCTCCAGTACAGCCAGGAAATCCCATTCCGCAAATGTAATTTGGTCCACTAAAAGTTATCTGTTCAATAATGTAATTCAGTAAATGTTTTTAAGAATTTGAAAGTCTGGTTAAGCAGAGAAAATACCTCTCTCTCTCTCTCTCTCTCTCTCTCTCTCTCTCTCTCTCTCCAGAATAAAATAAATCAAAATATACTGTTAAGGAATCCAAATCATAATTTGACTTCAAGACTTAGGCTTTATGACCGAGAAAAATAATTAACAAATTTGTTATACTCTTGGTTCAATTTCGAGTTAGAAAAGTCTGGTCTATAAGGTAGATACTCGGATAAGAGACCTTCAAAATCTAGTACTCTGTTCATTTATTAATATTTTGCAAACATATGAATGGTACTAGTGTATTAAACAAAGGGGAAATATTTACATTCAACATGTATTTTGCTTATAAAGTGTGAGGAAATCTACGGCATTCAAAACACCATGAGACGGACAGGGGTCAAAAGGTTAAAGTATGCGTTAAAACGTTGACCGCCGTGGAAGTGCAATATCATAAGCAAAAATCAAAATTCACGCTCACATTAAACAGAAGCTTTTCAAATGGCTCTTTCATTTCTTGTAACTTACCCAAAGGATAATACAGGGGTTTTGAAATATAAATCACATTTGCAGTCAAGGCAAGGAGTTAAAAAATGTAAATATAAGCATTGAATCATCATTTTTTGAACGATATAATCTCATAACTGCAACGGTGTGTGCAATTCCACGCACTAACGCGGTTTACTCAATTTGTTTGCACACACTGTTGCAGTTATGAGATTATATCTTTCAAAAAATAATGATTCAATGCTTAAATAAATTTCAAATATCTTTATATCACACACACACACACCCACACACACCCTCATTCACACACACACACAAAGATTATATATAAATAAATGTATTTACATTGCCAAATATTTTTTTTTCTGAAGATTAGACTGTTCAATTTCTCATGAACTACCATGGATGAGCATGATTATCTCTATTGTTACGTCATAATGCCGTACTTGACGTCAAAACTATAGTGCAAAGTGTTTTGCTTTAAAAATAACAGTTGAATGGCGTAATTTGTGGCAACTCATCAAAAAAATAATGTAGATATAAGAAATGAATTAAATTTTTAAAAATTCAAAGGTACATGAACTACAACGCTTCACGCCGGCATATTCATTATGAAGCGCTAACGCGCTTTATGAAATATGCCGGCGTGAAGCATCGTAGGTCATGTCCTCATGAATCTTCAAAATACAAATGCATTTCTTAATTATAGTACAGCAAATATGTGTAATCAGGAATTTCATGTATTTCTGAATTTTAGGAAAAAAGACAAAAGCTGAGAAAAAATCAAAAATTTTATCAAAATATACATTTCATGAATTTTGCTAAGAAATGTTCAATTATTTACTTATTACTATGTGGATTTTACTTCACAGAGGACCAAATTTCTACATAGTCAAATTAAAGTAAATTCAATTGTTAAGGAGGGATTCTTCTCATATTCTTCTCATATTTCTTGTATTTAAAAATTAATGAAATTTTCTTACATTCAAGAAGACAATATCACTAAGTGATGGTATCAATTAGATTAAATTTGACCGTTTTTTGAGAAACAAGGTCAGGTCAACGTCATTATCTTTTTCCTTGCCATTTAGAGTAAAAAAAAATTAATGTTACTAATCATGTGATGCCTACTTCTATTTTAAAAGGTGAAATGTTTTTCTTTTTGCACAAAAAGATGTTACCATATTGGGTCTATCAAATGATTCAACCAAATTAATTGACAATATTTAACTTAAGGGAGCTGATTGGGGTTTTATTGTGTGAATACTACTGTAGTGGTTTAGATTTCTATTTCATAGCCCTTGTTTCGTAAATTACATTTTGCAAGTATTTGTTGGTATTTCAGTCTGATAATTCTATTTACCTTATGTTTTCAGTTGTTACTTAAGTAAAACCCCTTTATTATTTGTTTTTTATAAGTTAGGACATGTGTTGACATTCCACATGTTTTACTTTTTAAACAGGAAGTGTCATCCATGTTAGGAGTCTTTCCATAGTACTTTTGGTAGCTGTGTTCTGATTGGTTAACTTAGTTGTAGAATCTTTGATGTTTATTGGCTTTTATATTTGGGCCTATAGCTAGGGTATTTAAAGCCGTGTTCGTGTAGTTTTCTTCACTTGGGTTGGGGAACACAACCTCATGATTAGTTCCTCTTTACTGTGCTAAGAAAACCTCATGGTTTATGAGCACTATTTAATTAGTACCTTAGAGTGGTAAGAAAACCTCATGGTTTAACAGTACTCTAGGTCTTAGCTAGCTTTAGTTTCATGTTTTTCACAAGTTCTAGGTTTTTGTTAGGAAACAGTTAGGATGTAGGTTTTATAGAGTTAATTTAGTTTTCCCCTTTCCAAGTCCAGCCTGGTCTAGGGATTTGTAGATAACAGGTATAATTCCTAGAACCACTATTTACTATTTATTTATTTATTTTTGGTGTTGTTTATTATCTGGGTTAGATATTTTTAGAATCCAGATTTAGCATTATTATTTTAAGTTCAACTCTAGAGTGTTGATTAGTAGAGTTCATATTGGGTGATGTAGCTCATTTCCCTTACATTTTTCCGAATCACTGACATTTATAGCAGTTTTTAATAGGATTTTTGACCTTTTTCATAAGTATGGAAACTCGGTAGGGACATAAATTATTTTCATAGGTTTTTCACATTCCTCCCATTTTTCCTATTAAATTTTTCACAAACGTCTTATTTATTTATTGTTATTCACTTGCCAGATTAAATTATATTTTTGATAAAACTATTTATTCCTGTGCAATTTTGAAAGACTTTATTCTTGTTTAAATTTTGACTATTATTTATTATTTGTTATCATTTACAAAGGTTAATTCTCACTTTATTAAATTTATAAAACTTACAACTGTGTTTTCATTTAGCGTTGATCATAGTTCAGATATCCCCTTACCTGGGTTGACAATCATAACTGGAGGCAGTTTACTGCTTTAAGCCAAGTTGGCTATTAACTTTGTTAAGTTATTCATTAAAGAGTTCTACTTCCGGTTACACTACTATAGAGAAACTCTTTAATTCTATACCATATGTACCTTACATTGACTTCAGTATACATGCCAAGTTAAGTGAAAATTACCGTCTGGTTATTTTGAGGGACTATCTCAAAATACAACTACATTAACTATTGGATGATATGGGAAAATACTATTTTTTCACACTTTGGAGCAAATTATACAAATGCTACTGTATACTTTTTGCTCAAATTATATTATTTGATGAGATATACTATATTGTACACTTTATGCAAGAAACACAAAATTCTACCGTCAGGTTTCCAGAGGGGGCATCTCAAAATGTCAAAATTCATGATATTTTCATGTTTTTATAGAGTACTACAAAACATGACAGATACCACAGATTTATATAAAAATTATATAAATGATTGTGAGATTCTCAATTTCCTATGTTTAAAATTTCAAGAGCATCTATCAGTCTGTCCCACTTGGTTTTCCACACTTTTTTTCTAAACGCTTGCAGATATTGAGCTGATTTTCGGTATGTGAGTGTATCTTGATGAGTTACAGAATAAATTTGCATTTCGTTCCGCTTCAATGATTTTTGACGAAATTACGACCTTTCCAATTTTCAGGGTTTTCCGCAATTTTTTTCTAGATATAGAGCTGCAGATATTGAGCTGATTTTTGGTATGTGACTTTACATTGATAAGTTATAGATCAAAATTTGCATTTCGTTCCGCTTTATTGATTTTTGACGAAATTATGGCATTTTCAATTTTTAACGGAAACCATATTACACTTGCTGGTAGGGGACTAGTATTGCTAATGCAATACTCTCAGATTGCTTGTTTTATGACATAATTAATGACCCCTTTTAAAGAACTTCGGTTATTCATAACGTCAAAAACACACGTTTACCACGTCTATGTACCCATCATTTGAAAAATCGTTTAAAAAATCATAATTTAAAAACGTGATTAGAATTTTTAACCTAAGATTTCCTAATTTTGTTAATTTTTATAAATTACGTAAAAATAGTTGCTTTAAAATAAAGTAAATACGTTTTTTTTTAAGATGCTGCGTTAAGTATTGCCCAATGAAAACCCCAGTTGGCCCCCTTAAATAGATATTGGCTAATCCGGATTTCTTCTATTTTTCTTAATTTTTTAGGATATATTAGTTATTTCTATATACTTTTTATATTTAAATATTTCTTATTTTTATATATGGTAAAGTAGTCATATAAATATACAAAATGATACAAAAACGAAAAGCTTCGACCGTTTAGTAAGAGAGAAAAAACACTTTACTATTTTTTTGCTCAAATCTGTTAATAGGTTACAGGCTTTCAAAAGCTGACAAGATTGTAGTATGTTTAGAAAATCATTTTTATTTGCTATGTTTTAAAGTTTTAGGGCATTATTATTAATTTTAGTTATATATCAAAATTCCTTTAAGTCTTTCATTGTTTAAAAAATTTAACTAAATGCAATGTTCTGTAAGTTTTTTTGATAGGCAGAAAAGGAGATATTTTCATACGCCGCGGTTGCGCTAAAAATATAGTCCTTGATGGATTTAAAATTCAGTTTACCATTTCTATTTAAAATTGTACAATTATGATGAGTAAAGAAAAATATTATCTTTTAAATACTTTACAGCTAAGTTTATAAGACATACAAGCAAATATACTTAGAATATTTTGTCTGGTCAGAAGCCAGACAAGAATCCCTCCTTAATATAAAAAGATACTACCTCACTTCTGCATCGCTCGACTTCAGATTTTACTATCCTTGTAAATCCATAATTTGGTCCTAGATTAAAATACTAAAAAATTTTATTGATGTTGAATACAAACTGGCTTTAATTTAATGTCAAAAAAGTATCTTAAGTAAAAGATAATATAATGCAGTAAATCTTGTTTAATCCATACAGTCGGACACCACTT